TCAACACTCCTGCTTAACTTGGTATCATCTGCAAACTTGCTGATGATACACCCTATGTCCTTATCGAGATCATCAATAAAGACGTTAATAGAAATGGTCCTAGCACTGAGCCCTGAGGCACACCACTAGTGACCGGCCGCCAGCTGGATTTGATTCCATTGAGCACCACTCTTTGGGACCTTCCAGTCAGCCAGTGCTTGATCCAGCAGATCGTATGCTTGTCCAGGCCGTGTGAAGCCAGTTTTTCCAGCAGATTTGTATGGGGGACAGTGTCGAATGCTTTTTGAAAATCCAGGTATACAATATCAACAGCCTTTCCCTTGTCCAATAATCTGGTTATCTTGTCATAGAAGGAGATCAGGTTTGTCTGGCAGGACCTGCCTTTCATAAACCCATGCTGACTAGGCCTGATCCCCTGGTTGCCAATTAGGTGGGTTTTGATGGCATTCAAGATGACCTGCTCCATGACTTTCCCTGGTATCAAGGTTAGACTGACAGGTCTATAGTTTCCTGGATCCTCCTTTTTGCCTTTCTTGTAGATGGGTGTTACATTTGCCACCCTCCAGTCCATTGGGACCTCCCCAGTCAGCCATGACTTCCTGTAAATGATGGAAAGCCTCAGGTGCAGGGTTGCAAGAAATCTCTGTGTTACCCTGTTAGAACAAATAGGGAGAGTAGCAGAATGTACTTAGAGAATGATAGAACTACTGGGAGATAAGAAATTTAAATTGCAAGCTTTGTCTTTGATGCCAAGTACAGGTGGTACTTGGACTGAAAAAAAACCAACCAAAGACAAAAAAACCCAGACACGCTGGGTTCCTTCCTCCCTCTAAAGTCTCACAAACTAAGCCAAATGAGTAATCTTATGCAGTGAGTTAGTTGTATGGGAAGACCAAAACCAACCAACCAAACAATAATATCAAGTGATAACTTAAAATTTGGTAATTCTCTCTTCAGGACACTTTATACAGTACATCTTCTATCTTAGCAAATTCTAGTGAGAAATTTCTAAAAAAGTCAGTGTTCCAAAAAGACCTTAATCTTTCTGTTTCTTAGGACGTTGAAATTGCTCTCCTTACAGTTGGTGCTCTAACATCTTTTTCAAACAGATGTTTCCCCCATCAACAGAAGAGATAAACCATACTCCTATTGCTGCAGAGCTTCCACACGATTAAAGCATTGATGGTTTAATGTTACAGTCTCAAGAATAACAGCCTTTGTATATTTCTTCCTTAAACTGGTCTTTCATCCTAATAAACTGAACCCTTGTTCATTACCAGTGGCTGAGGACCCAGAAAGCTGACTGGAGCCCTCTGGAGATTTTTGCTGTGCTCCAGGAGCTGGGCTGCTGCCCATGTTCTTCAGGGTAGCGTTTCGAAGTGATAAGGCTACTGCGTACCTTGAAGGCAAAGGCGAGCGCTGCTTCACCTGATTAACATCTTAGGATTCAGATCAGAAATGTGAATGGTCTTTGGTACCTACTAGCTTATCTAGGATAAATCAGCAGTTTAACTTCTCTGTATGACTGATGAGAAACCGAGAAGTAGGATTTTAAACACTGAATTACTCTCCCTTGATCTGCCCACCTGTCACTTTCTTAGAGGAGGACAGACAACTGTAAAACCATTTTGGTAGAAAACTGAAGGATATGAATGATAAAAATAGTCCAAGGGAGAAAGATGACTGTGACCCTGTAGCTGAAAATCCAGCGTTATGCCCATGGTACCATTATCCAAAAATCTGTTCTGATCAAAGTAGCCAGAAGCAAGTAGATTTATATGTAGACAAATAAGCATGGAAACGCTGATTTAGAAAGGCAGTTGGATAAAAACATTTAATGAGAGAAAGCAAGGCAGGCTCTCTTCTACTTGTTGTTAAATTAATAACCTGAGGGGAAAAAAAAAGGTGTAGAAAAGCTGGAAGCCTCTAAGCCAGGTTGGAGGAAAGTCTTGATACAGACTTTATATACAAATCCTTAGTGTGCACACCTCTGTTTTTTGCAATATCTGTATTAAGGTTAGGACAGCTGACAAAGCATTTATAATCTCACAAGCACAGTGTGTTGTCCCTCTAAATGCAACTCTTACATGTCCTTGACCATTTCCTAATATGGTGTAGGCTTCTACCAGGAGGGGTAGTGGTCCTGCAGTCTGTCTTGTGCTCAGGTGGGTCAGGCTTTCAGCTGCCTGTAGAGGGAAAGGGGGAAGTTCACTGTTAATACATGAAATCTGTTCTTACTGTTCCCTTGTATCCTGGCTGCCAGACTCAGTTCTTCGCAATCAGCCTTATAACCACGTAATACAGACAAATACACAGCTCCATATAATCATTTTCATGTTCTGCCCCCTTCCACCTCTGGAGGACGGATGCCTACCTGACTGCAGCTGTGAGACTCCGATACCAGTCATTAATATCTTGTTGGTCGCTGGACATCAACAACAGCGTCTTGTGTGGAAAGGAAAGCTGAAAGGCAAACAGAATCCAATGCCACTCTGTGGCATTCCTTGCCAAGGCAGCAACTCTGAGAAAAGGAGAGCCATCACCATTCAACTCAACTCAGCCCTGTGTACTAATTTCCCTCATTTTTTACCCAGATAGAAAAATTTAGCATCGCTACTGGGAGAAGCCAGAGGCTGGAGAGCAGACAGCAAAAAGTCCTGTCCATTCCTTCCAGCTACAGATGACAGCTCACTTTGACTCAATGGGCTGCTTAGAAGTGGGCAATTACAGTCCTTGGCAGCTTGTTATGCAGTTTCCTCCTGTATTCCAAGCTGCCCCTAGAGGTCCTTCTGCTGCCACCATCTACAGTGATCGGCTCACCCCAGCAGTCATCCCTGTCCTGGCTCACAAGGAATGAGGTAAAACAGCTCCCACGTGCTGCAGCCCGGGAAGCTGGAGCCCTCACCTAAGGCAACAGTCCCAGTCAAAGACCCTGCACCCCTCAGGGTTAGATGCACAAGCAATATCTTTTGTGATAATACCCATATCTTTTCACATTCTCCATTTTTCAAGGTTTTCTATAAGCTCAGTCCACAGTCAGTGTATTCACTGTCACATGACTGTGGGTTGTCTTCCTGACACACGGCTCTGATGAGGGCATGTCAGAGTCTTCTCGGACCCTCCCCACCTGAGCTAAGGGAAGCAACCAGCAACCTGTGTCCCAGAGTGCTCAGGAGGGCCTACACCAGGAGGGGAAAAGGACCTACATCACCCAAGAAGACAAAGGTTGCCCTAACTCAGACAAGTTCATTGCATTTACTGCTGTCACCATTCATCATCTCAGCCCTGCTGCTGACGAGATGGCTAAAGACCCAGAGTCTGACTCCTCTGACGCTTCTGCAGGGCAGAAGGAGGAAGACTTACACTGAGGAGCCCTCCCTGGCTCCGTGTGTGGCCAAACACTTTGTCCACCACGCACTGGTGAAGCGGGTAGACAGCCTGGCACGCCAGTTTGTTCGAGTTTAGTGGGTGCAGCGGGTGGCAGGGCTTTGTTGCAATCAAGATATCGGAAAAAAGGAAGAACATCCTGCGCTTCAGTTCTTCTCCCTTTGAAGGCACCACCAAAAGCCAGCCTTCCCGGATGTACCAGCGCCCTAGGTATGCAAGGGAAATGAAAACAGTTGTCAGATCATCATTGGGGAAAAAAAAAAAAAGGTTGTAATGAGACAAACAGACACAGTGAGCTACCTGTGTAAGTTACCAGGTTCTACATCAATTCCAGACACTAGAAGGCACTAGAAGTATCAACCGGGGCCGGCTTGCCAGCACTGAAGGCACCCATGCAGAAGCAGTAATCGGCCCAAAACTTTTAGTATGTGAAGAGCAGACCAAAGTTGTTCTAAATCTACTACGTTAATTAAAATGATATTATGATATACAAGTCTTTAAAAAGATACCAGAACAAAAACATGGTTTGAAAATGGTATGCGTACCTTTAAATTTACATAAGCCTTCAGAAAACATACCGTGAATTATCTTAAATTGTGCTGCCCAATTTTTTATCATTACTGGTGAAAGAGAAGATAGCCTAAGCTTTGGACTTCTATTATTTTTCCCTTTTTTTGTTTGCTTGTGCATGCCATTTAAAAAAAAAAACAAACAACTTTCACAGGTCATCTAACTATACATGGACCTCCAGTAGTTAACAAATTACAGAATGCAGATTACTCTTCTAATGAGAAAACAGCAAAGGGGACACAACACAACATATTAAAAAGAAGGTCTGAGTAAGCAACCTTATCAACCTTCTCTTACAGAATAGAGTCCAGTGTCATTTACTCATGAAATGAATTGCAATGAAACAAAAAGCAGAGAAATTGGCAGGGAAAAAAATCAAAACAATTTGATAAACCCAGCTATAAGCAGTAAAAAAAATAATGGTGTCTACACAGAATGGAATAATTAAAGCAATGCCTCTGTCTAGAAGGATTATTGTACAAGATAGCCATCAACTCAGGCGAATTACGAAGACAATAATTCAATAAGATTATTTACAAGAAATTAAAGCCATACTAAGGTATTGCCATCTGGCCTGGTCTGGGAAACACCTGCTGGAGAATTTCAGCCACTATTTTATTTATATGTAAAAGTACAACACAATTTTTATGGATTGTGTCTTACTTAGTATGCTACAGTCACAAAATACAGAGGCAAGTGCATTCCTGCTTAGCTTACTCGACAGGAACCACTCCTCTTATTGGAATAAGAAACTGAGAAAGAGAAGGGTGACACACAGGAATCAATCCAAGTTTAAAAACACAAATGGAAGGAAGCTGTCAGCAGTGTGGGGCTGGACTGGGAAGTGTTTCCTTCAGGCTAAGCTGCGATGAGACTCCCTGGAACACACTGAGCTGGACTGTGCTGGAGGTCTTGGGATATAGATCCGTGTTCAGGATTCCCAGGGGCAAGTGACTTAGGAAATTCTTGCGAAAGGAGGGCAAGATAATATCCCTAGGGCAGCTAGGGGTAACAGAACAGTTAAGGAGGCAGTTCTGGCTCAGGCTGGATATTAGGAAAAATTTTTTCACTGAAAGGGTTATCAGATATTGGAATGGGCTGCCCAGGGAGGTGGTTGAGGCACCATCCCTGGAGGTGTTCAAAAGACGGGTTGATGTAGTGCTGGGAGGTATGGTTTAGTGATGATGCTCCTTGTTTGTAGTGTGGGTGGCTATTTTTGTCAGTTAGGTTGACGGTTGGACAAGATGATCTTTAAGGTCCCTTCCAACCTAGAAGATTCTGTGATTCTGTATTTGACCTGTATATGGAAGGCAGCAAGGAAAGCATGGTCTCTTTTCACTGGGAGCAGTACACCCCAGAGACATTCCCACACATGACACACCCTGGTAAACAACCTCTTTTTCTATCTGTCCTGGCTTGGCTGGGATAGACTTAATTTTCCTCTTAGTAGTGAGTATGGGGCTATGTTTTGGATTTGTGCTGAAAACAGCACTGACAATACAGAGATGTTTTATCTATTGCTGTGTAAGCACTGCTCAGTGTCAAGGCCTACTCTGCTCCTCACACTGCCACACCAGCGAGCAGACTGAGGGGGGCACAAGAAGCCGGGAGGGGACACAGCCAGGACAGCTGACCCCAACTGACCAAAGGGATATTCCATGCCATGGGACGTCATGCTCAGCATATAAAGCTATGGGAAGAAGGAGGAAGGGGGGGACATTTGGAGTGGTGGCATTCGTCTTCCCAAATAACTGTTAGAGGTGATGGAGCCCTGCTTTCCTGGGGATGGCTTTAAACCCCTGCCTGCCCATGGGAACTAGTCCTTGTTTTGCTTTGCTTGCATGTGTGGCTTTTGTTTTACCTGTTAGACTGTTTTTATCCCAACCCATGCGTTTTCTTTCTTTTACTCTTCCAATTCTCTCCCCTATCCCAGTGGGGAATGCTTTTTTCACCCAGAAATCCATGTGTATGAATTACAAACACGTTCACAAGTTCCGGGAGGTGTGTCTTAGAGACCTTTACACACAGTGCCTTTAGCACTCCCCTCCAGCTGCAGCACTGTTTCCAGTAGCAGCTAGCAGCATTTAGTGAGGGCACAGGTGGAGCTTCATGTGACCGTTTCATAATTCCCCAGACTGGACACATTTCTCATAATATTCCTTACGTAGCTTGGACTGTGTTCTGGGCACAGAGAGCACCCGGTCACACAAGAGGTCATAAAGAAACCTGTTATCGAATTAGATGATCTTACAAGCTGTGACTTTATATAACTCAGTTATCTACAAAACTATCAACACTCTGATTTCCGGCACAGCTTAACCACGCAGATAAAAGAAGATTCTTCATGTTAAGGGTGTAAGCACAGGTCCATGAAGCTTGTAGCTTAAGTTGAAAAACACCACAGTCCTTGGCTCCTTGACCCTCAGAAATCTATGGTTCCTGCACTGGAGTAGGGACAATACCACTACTTAGACCCTTCCAGAATTATTTAATATCTTTCTTTCATTCTCACTCAGGACTTACGCTCCTGACCTCCTTAGATTCCTGTTACTAACTTTCTAACTACATGTCATCAGCTCCTTCTATCTGAATGTCAGGGAATTAAGCTGCTGCTTAGCCTTACTAAAAAATTCTTGATAAAAAGAAAAAAAAAGTGCTTGAATTACTAGTTACATTTCTTCACCTCCTACGTATAGAACTTGGGCAGAAGGGGAAAACCGGTTAATGTGAGTTGAATCAGAGACAAAGGTGAACACATCTCCAGTTATCTCAGCTTGGCAGAACAGAGTTGTCAGTATGACCCACCTGGAGTCAAAATCTGGGTCTTTTGTCCTTTCAGCAGTTTCTGAACCCGAAGTAGCTGCAATGAGTTCTCTCTCTGATGAATGATGTCTTGGACCCAGCAAGATACCTCAGATACAGATTTCACAGCTTCTGAAATTAAAGCAGCATATTCTGAGGTTATCACAAATGAGTACGTATTACATCTTATCTATTTTGCTGTGAAAAGATAAGATGAAATTAGGATGCAAATGTTTTAAACCAAGTATCAACAGCAGATTTACTCAGTAATTTCAGCAAGAGATTGGACTAGATGACCTCTAGGGGCCTCTCTCCAACCAACACTTCCGTGGTCCTAGAAAACATTTATTTGCCAATGAAACAGACACGGGAATAGTTTCCTTGATTTGTAAGCAAAACCAGGAAAAAATGCCCCACAAATGGTGTTAACTGCTAGTAAATATGGCATGAAGGACACAAATTATCCTAGAAAACTGAGGCATGTGACCAATAGTCATAGAATGGTTTGGGTTGAAAGGAATCTTTAAGGATCATGTAGTCCAACTCCCCTGCCGTGGAAAGAAGCATTTTTCAGGTTACTCAAAGGTTGATCAGGTTGCTCAAAGCTTCATCCAACCTGACCTTGAACATTTCCAATGATGGGGCATGGACAATTTCCTCGGGCAACCTGTTTCGGTGTCTCAGCCCCCTCATCATAAAAAATAGAGCTGCCATTTATCTGACCTAACCCCTAGGCCACTTTCCCAGTCAGTTACTCTACATTTTTATTCCCAACGTGTTCTCAGGGACATCTTGATCAAGATGGAGAAGGGAAATAGTAATCCACTAGAACTCCAGAGAGGAGGATTTTTCTTCCTGTGGAAGTAGACTGAAGATGAGAATCCAAATCTTAGTAGTGAGGAGGCCAACACTGATCAAAGTGCCAGCATCCACAGGAGGAATCATACTTGCAAGTTTCTGGTACTCAGCGCTGTCTGGGCTGGTGTTCTCCAGCAGGTCTCTGAAGAAATGTTTGTACCTAAGATAAAGAAAGCAAGTTTCACAAAAGCAAGTTTTGTTTCACAAAAAGATACCAGGAACATCAGCACCTCCTATTCGTGACAGAAAGATGAAAAACACTCCACCATGAGATGGAGTACACACCTCTAAACCTAACCATTTGGCTTTCGGTCACAATTCTTTGATCACATGCACTTTCATCTTCAAATATATTAACTAAATTAATCCAAGTAGTTTATACGTTTGCAAGCCTTTGGCATTTCCTGAGGATCTGATAAAGGCAACCTTACTTACTACTTTTGTTCATAAGACTCTTAGCATTCACATATAAATGCCTTCAATAACGACAAATTTCTCTTTGAATTATTTAACTTTTTTTTTGTCTGAATGGTAGCATTCATACCATATGTTTCCTGCCCACACAAGAAAATAAAGGCATTTCTATAAGAAGTAGGAGCTCCCTTTTTCTTTTTTCCTTGCCAGTCTTTACTGCAAAGATCAGATCTCTGCAAATGCTTTCTCCCAATAAAGTACAACTATTTTTGGTCTGAAATAACAGAAGAAATATCACATTGAATAGCTTCACAAACTGGCAGAAGTCATATGACCTGCAGCATATGTAACAGTTTTGAAGAAACTTGAACATGAAAGAGTTGATTAATGAAAAACTTAGACCTTCTGTTATAAAGCCACCGTTTTTCCAAACTGTCAGACAGCAACAAATATACTGCTACAAATTTAAAGGGACAATCCAAAGAATTACAGTAAAAAGAAGACTTAACGTTTATATCTGCCAAGCCCATTAAAAAGGTTACATAAAGCCACCAGAAAGACTGTGGTGTGCACACTCTTGAGTTATTTTCAAAGAAATGGGGCTCTCAGCCTCTCAAATTTGCTTTAGCGTGGGTAAGACCAAGGTTGGAGAGCAGCTATTTGCTCTATAGCAGCAGGAACTGGGTTCTCAGTGAACTACCTGTGCTCTGTATTGCCCATATACCCTCCCCAAGAAAGGGCAGCCCTTGAGGGCATGCAGCACTTCTCTCCTGCAGTCAGCCTCGAGGGAAAATGCAGCAATCCAGTCTGGATCTGCCCAGGGCTCAGACAACTGTGAAGCACCAAATCTGAGGAAAGCATATGGCCCTGATAACCAGAGAGGGGAGAAAAGCTCACCTGCATTCATTACTCTCATCTCTCCCCAAAAGCAACCACCTACAAGGGAGGAAAGTCACAATGCTCCAGGTCAGCAGCCCACACAAAAGTGGAGTGAGACTGTCTCTGGCAGAGCGCACCACTTCTGCAGCACTTCAGATGGCTTGCTCTTGTTCAGGCCTAACTTCTGTAGCTTTCCAAGATGACAGAAAGCCTCCACTTCAGTTCTACCTGAGAGCTAGATGAAGGGCTTAGGAGCCAGTGCTAAACACAGTTACCACTCTGCATCATCTCCCATCCACGTACAGTGATTCCACTTTGTGTCGAATGTCTCCATGTCTGTTTTGTTTCTGTCTATATGCTCCAATTTTGAGATACATTAAGCAGCTTTACCTCTCATAGCAATGAAGACACAGTTATGTTCCTTTTTCCCTCTCGCACTAACACCTTGAAGACTCAGAATTGTTTACTTACTGGTGCAACCTCTGCAGGGGCAAAGGAAGCAGATCCTCTAGCTTCCTCCCTTGAAACTGAGGTCGATTCTCCTGGAGCTTCTTAAACCGTCGGAATGACTTGTTTTTCCTCAATTGCTCCTGTGTGCAGCAAAAAAGGAAAATAGCTTTGGGACTATAGAAAGAAATACGTGCTCTAGTCTACATCAGAGCTTGGAACTCTTAAAACTCTTAAACTTTACTACTCTGGTCCTAAACACAAGCATCAACAACTTATTTTGTGGCCATGGGCAAGCAATTCCTTTTCTCCTGGCCACATTTCCCAGCAGGTAATGGAAGCAACATCCCCTCTTCATACACGTACAGCAGTATAAAGCTAGTATATTCAGCAAATGGAAACAAAGAAAAAGAGAAAGGTTGACTCAGACAGGAAAACCTGTGGCTTTTTGCCACTCATTTCAAGACAAAGCAATGCAGCCCCACATTCTCATGACCTCAAGGCAAGTATCAAAAATGTTTTTTTCTCTTCAGAAATCAAAAGTGTGAATATGTAAATGCAAACAGAACAGAAGGGAAATGTCCCAGTACATCCTGCAGCTGGGAACAAGCATGGACGAAAACTGGAAGTTGGGTGGTTTAAATTCCAAGTACAGCTGTCAGGATTCTGAAATAAAAATATACCCTTCTGAAATTTCTTGGAAGACAGGTTGTATTTGGAGACGTAAGTGGGAAGGAAGAATTTTTCTTCTACCAAAAAAAAAAAATAGGGAAGGAAAAGGAAATCCCAGTGTTAGGATACAGTTTGTGGTAGTAGGAAAGACTAGACCTCATAATTCTCCAGAAAGAGATCACTGTCCTCTAGTGTTCCCACAGCAAACTCTCCAGGCTTGCCAGCCAAGGAGTGGGAGTAAGTACAGAACTGTGTTTGAGAAAGCTGTGCTCAGCATATGCAGACACATACACAAACACTGGAAACAAGCTTCAAAAGTTTGAAACTCTGAATAAACAGAGAAGTTTTCACCACTCTATTGCAGAAAAAAGACCGACAAAATAGCAGAAGCCCAGAAAAAGGAAGAAAACTGATGGGTTTCCTCTGTTTCTGAATCAGAAGGGAAAGATGTAGCTGTTTCACAGAATGGAGAAAAAAGGAAGAACAAACATGAAGGATAGAGGAGACATTTACCTTCAAGGTTTTATTTGCCTGCTCTGAATTCTCAGCATAGTGGCCATAAACCTCCACATTCTGACAGAAATTTTCCAATCCTGGTCCCAAATTCCCTCTCTCCAGGTGAAGCGACAGAACACTGTGCAGAAGCAAAAATAGCTTGTGAGGGGTACGTTACTGATGGGATTTTCACAGGTCCCTCTGGTTCACTTCTGTGCTGACCTTCCTTTGTCAGTGTCCACGGCACATCCAGTCTCTGTGACAAATACATGCTTGGTGGTCACAGTAAGATAAAGAAAACATCCCTTAAAAATACCACAGAGAAGACTTACTAGGTTTTAACCACTATCCAGAGAGCAACTGGGCACCCAGATATGTGGATGCAGATCAGCAGTTTCCTGGGTACACCTGCAAGTGTCACCAAGGCTAGCATTGCTACAAGTGAATGCCTGTTTTACAAGGTGTTAGCTTTATTTTCTGAAATCTTACTGTCTCATCCATATAGGGTCCTCCCCATATAATTACAGGAATCACATCAGTCTGTTCACTTACTGGCTGGCTGAATATATGGATTCCAGGGGTCCAAATATGGTTTCCAACACAGCAGGTTTCAGCGTCCCTTTGGCCTTTAAAATTTTCACAAAGAACTAAGTAGGAAAAAAGAGAGAACTTCAAACAGGTGAAATTCACAGGTCATTCAAAGGTTATTCTTGGTACACAGCAGAAGCAGGAAGTTATAGCCTGCACACTCTTGAGGTCAAAATACTGACAAATATTGTGAATTCCTATTTAAGGTATCTATCATCAGAAGTAAGCCAACCAGTAACATTGATCACAACTGTAAACATTTGAAGCAGCACTATAGCATTGACAGAGTCTGTTTCAGCATTCCTAGATGCATCAGTTTTTCTCCACCTTGTCCATAGTCTCTCTGTCTTGTCTGTACCCCTATGTTTCATGCATCTCGGCCTTCTTGAGCTGAGTCGCCTCTGAGTACTGACCAAAGCCAACAGACAAAAACCACAAGCTATCAGGTATTACAGTGGAGGTAAAAGAAAAGCAACCAAAAAAACCCCTTTCAGCCCCAGCAGTTGTCCCATGCAGTAGAGATGTCACGAAGTCTTGCTCTTGACCCTTCCCCATGGCAACACTAAGTGCATTGCTGCCTGAAGGTACCTACATATCAGAAGGGGCCAAAATACTCACTGTGACCACCAAATCTAGCTGCTCGAGGTATTTGTGTTCTGTTTCCAGCAGCTCCTTGGCTGTCCGGCTGCGCTTTCTCTCCCAGCGAGCTCTCTGCTCTTCAACAGTGCGTGATCCAGCCATGAACAGCAGGGGCGAATCACTCATGGTGGCCTCAGAGCTGACATACAGAAAGGTAACCGATCCTGGAAAGCCCAGAGAGATGGACACACAACAAATGCACAACCTATGTCGCAGGGTAGGTTTCTGAGACACAAGCTCTACTCTTTGCTATGGAAGAAGGGAAGTCAATTGCCAACAACCATTATTAACAGTTTCCTTCTGTGTTCCTCTCTGTGGGTAGAGCCCTGCATCAACCAGAGGAACAGTGTTAGAAAGAGCTGACCGTGAAAACAAGAGCTGTACATGATGATACATCTCTAAGTAAATCTCAAGCGTGTAATTCCAGCCCATAATTGCTTCTTCCTGTGCTTTGCCCCATTCTTCATGCAAAATTCTCAATAAACCCAAGGCATTTAGCAGGTGGAAGAGGGACTGTGGGTAGGAGTAGAAAACAGCAATAAGATTTGTGCTGGAGGAAGAGACAGAGGAAGGCAGCACTCTGGCTTGTTTTCCTGTGGAGGTTCCCAAGATGCAAGCTGTTTGCATTGTGATTTTCCACCAGTGGTTTCAGAGATGAGAGGGACCTAGCAACTTCTGTGAATCACATTACCCACTTGTTAACCAGCTTTGGTCTTGCTCTTCTCTTCTGCAACAGCATCATGATGGAGAGAAAAACACTGGTTTTTTTATCACACTCTCTCAGAGAAAGAGGCATGTGCTAGCAAAGCACCGGTTATATATTATTCCGCCTTTTGATTAAAAGGCAGTGCAGGCTCTTGCACATTTGCCACAGCATGAAGTTTGTGGTTTCTCTGCTCAGCTAGCTACCTCCACGTACGTGCTGTCTCCCACATGGATGAGCTATACTAATACAGAAAGAAGTACTTCTGAGGAGAAGAATCTGGGGGTCCTGGTGGGTAGTAAATTATCCATGAGCCAGCAATGTGCCCTTGTTGCCAAGAGGGCCAATGGAATCCTGGGCTGCATAGGGAAGAGTGTGGCCAGTAGGTCGAGGAAGGTCATTCTCCCCCTCTACTCTGCACTGGTGAGGACACAATTGGAATACTGCATCCAGTTCTGGGCTCCCCAGTTCAAGAGAGACAGGGAACTACTGGAGAGAGTCCCACGTAGGGACACTAAGATGATTAAGGGATTAGAGGATGTCCCTTATGAAGAAAGGCTGAGAGAGCTGGGACTCTTTAGCCTGGAGAAGAGAAGGCTGAGGGGAGACCTTATTAATGCTTATAAGTACCTAAAGGGTGGGTTGAAGGATGATGGAGCTGGACTCTTTTCAGTGATTCCCAGTGATAGGACAAGGGGCAACAGGCACAAGCTGGAACATGGGAAGTTCCATTGAAATATGAGGAAAAACTTCTTTCTCGTGAGGGTGACAGAGCCCTGGAGCAGGCTGCCCAGGGAGGGTGTGGAGTCCCTTTCTCTGGAGATCTTCAAGACCCGCCTGGATGCAGTCCTGAGTAATGTGCCCTAGGCAATCCTGCTTTAGCAGGGGAGTTGGACTAAATTATATCTAGAGATCCCTTCCAACTCTGACAATTCCGTGATTCCATGAAGTGTTGTTGTAGAGAAGGGAGTTTGTCAAATACAGTCTTCCAGAGACATTTCAGATACCTAAATCAGTGCCTGAAACAAAACCTTCACATTGAATGAGCACCAGGGCTCCTTTCATGAGTTAGCAAAAGTCCAGATAGCTTGAGGGACACATGCAGTAGTGGGAGCTTCTCCAGAGGTTTATCCTCCTATTTGCTCGTGACACAACCACAAGGTTAGCCAAGGCCAGGTCTGGGTCAAACAGGGCATCCCTGGCACCCCTGTGGATGGAGAGGCAGCACTGCAGGGAATACCACGCAAGAGCTTAGCATTAACATGCAGTTGCAAAGTACTCACCAATAATAGACTAAAATGCTACCATTCGCAGAGCACCTTTAGCCAGGGTAGGTAGCAGTCATGATTTTCATACTGCAGGCCAATTTCTTTTAATAAACAATAATTAAAAAAAAAAAGGCAAAATAAAGTTACACTAGGTTTGACCATCTCCCACTCACATAAAGTGGTGCAAGTACTCCCATTATTAAAAAAATATATCACATCTAACTGTCTCAAGTTTGTAGGGCAAGAGTTGTCTGGAGCCTGTGGGTAGACTAGAAAATACTTCTCCTACAGGTGACAGAAGCACCCCAGCTTGCTTGTCTCTTCTCAGACTCGGAATAGAAGCCACTGAATACTGTCTGAATAGTTAACTACCTTATGAAGCCCCACTAGCAATATTCCCTGCCACGTTTCTAAATTTTCTGTTTTGAATATCCAGAAAAAAACCTCCCTTTATCATCACAGCATAGCCACTCCTGATGTCTCCGGACTGTCAACTACCTGGTGGGTCAGCTCCAAGGGCCACACGGCTCCACCACCCACCTCTGAGGATAGTGAAACCTTCCCTCTGTAGAATAAGCTTCCTGAAGCCTTTCAGTTTATCAGACTTGTCAGAGAAAGTGGCGAAAGTCTGGCTACACCTGCATTTATTAAACACAGGTTCATGGGAGGACAATGGGATGAATGCCATTGTCCAGGCACAAGGAGACCTTAATCTTTTAGGAGGAAAGGCTGAGAAACCTGGGTGTGTTTAGCCTGGAGAAGAGAGGACTGAAGGGGGATCTCATCAGTGCTTATAAACATCTAAAGGGTCGGTGTCAAGAGGATGGGTCCAGGCTCTTCTCAGTGGTGCCCAGTGACCGGAAAAGGAGCAATGTGCATAAACTGGAACGTGAGAAATTCCTCCTGAACATGAGCAAAAACTTCTTTACTTTTGGGGGTGCCAGAGCACTGGAACAGGCTGCCCAGAGAGGTGCTGGACTCTCCTCCCCTGGAGATATTGGAAACCCGCCTGGAGGGGTTCCTGTCCAGCCTGCTCTGGGTGACCCCGCTTTGGCAGGGGGTTGGGGCTGCATGGTCTCTGAAGGTCCCTTCAGAGGGACCCCGGGCCAGCCTGGGAGGATGGTGACTGCTGTGCCAGAGGCCTCAGAGCGGCTCTTCCCGCTTCCCTCTGCTTTACACCGACTCACCGCCGCAGGGGATGGGCCCCCAGCCTCAGCCCGGCTCCCCAGCCCCTTCAGTCCAGGCCCTCTCCCCTCTGGGTGACCCCGCTTTGGCAGGGGGTTGGGGCTGCATGGTCTCTGAAGGTCCCTTCAGAGGGACCCCGGGCCAGCCTGGGAGGATGGTGACTGCTGTGCCAGAGGCCTCAGAGCGGCTCTTCCCGCTTCCCTCTGCTTTACACCGACTCACCGCCGCAGGGGATGGGCCCCCAGCCTCAGCCCGGCTCCCCAGCCCCTTCAGTCCAGGCCCTCTCCCCCGCCTCAGCCCGGCTCCCCAGCCCCTTCAGTGTGGGCCCCCAGCCCCTTCAGTGCGGGCCCCTCGCCTCAGCCCGGCTCCCCAGCCCCCCTCAGCCCGGGCCCTCACCCCCGCCTCAGCCCGGCTCCCCAGCCCCTTCAGCCCGGGCCCCACACCCGCCTCCAGCCCCTCCTGAGGCCAGACCGCCCCCGCCGCCCGTTACCTGCTGCTCCCCGCCGCCGCCCCGCGTTCAAACGGTGGCCCCGCCTCGGAGGGCGGTCCCGGGGCGGAGCGGGAACCGAGCCGGGCCGGGCCGGGGAGGGCGGGCAGGCTGGCTGGCGCTGGCCGTGGCTGTGGGAGCGGTCCAGCATGGTGTCGCTGGGGGATCGTCGCCCCCCGCCCGGCGACCTGGCGTCGCTGTCGGAGCTGGACGAGGCGTCGCTGCTGGGCGGGCTGCGGGAGCGGTTCTTGGGGCAGCAGGTCTACGTGAGTGCCGGGGGTCGGGGCGGGGGGCGGCGGCGGCCGGCGCTCGGCTGACGGGCTCTTCTTCCCCCCTCTCCCTCAGACCGACATCGGGGACATCCTCGTCGCCATGAACCCCTTCCAGCCCCTGCCGCTCTACGGGAGAGAGGTGAGTCCCCGC